TTAGCCCAGTTACACCCACTAATGGTTGGCTGTTACATAGTTACCATTCATGGTCAACAGATGGCACCCTGTCACTACATATGTACGTTGAACTTATTTCGCACCGTACATAACCAGCCGTGCTAATCGGAGGTGCAGGGGAAGAACAACAAACTAAACACGAACAAGCAGTTCTCAAGAAATGAGCTTTCAATTTAGTTCAGGTGACCCCCGACTTACGACGGCTCGATTTGCGACCCCCCGCTTTTACGACCTTTCTCACAGTAATTAAGACGCCCGCAGTGACGACCAAAACTTGTATCTACGACCGCCTAACGACTGCTACCGACGCCGAGTCGATAGGTGACGAGTCTCCACGTGACATGCGCACACTCACGACATGTGCAGATGGCGCTGCATTTTCTTTTCCGCCGTCTGCGTATGCACGGTACAAGCCCGACAGTTTGCAGCTGCACCAAGAGCAAACACAGCGACGCTCTTCACTTTTTTGAACATTTTTTTTAATGTTCGCCTCTCGCTACGCCTGAGAAGAGGAAATGTGATGCACATGCATAAAAACACTTACAGATTTTCAATTGTAAGTGCTTTTAATTAAAAATGTTGGTAAAGGTTATGTTAAGTTACAATAAATGTTTGTTATGGATAGTTTCATTTATCTTCGTGGTCAATTTTGGTATGTTTATGGTATGTAATGGGTTTCCAGGAACAGAACCCCAATGTCTAACATTGCGCCTATGGGAAACGAGGGTTCGACTTATGACGGCTCGATTTGCGATCGTCGTACAGGAACCAATTAGGTCGTAGGTGCGAGGGTCACCTGTATAGTGATGTAGTGTATAGTGTAGTGTTGTTTATAGTGTGTGGTACAGTAGTGTAGTGTATAGTAGTGTAGTGTTGTGTATAGTGTGTGGTACAGTAGTGTAGTGTTGTTTATAGTGTGTGGTAAAGTAGTGTAGTGTATAGTAGTGTAGTGTTGTGTATAGTGTGTGGTACAGTAGTGTAGTGTATAGTAGTGTAGTGTTGTGTATAGTGTGTGGTACAGTAGTGTAGTGTATAGTAGTGTAGTGTTGTGTATATGCAGTGACTGTGATTGTGTGGTGCCGGGCTTACGAAGCCACGGCGGATAATGTGCTGACATTATGTGTAGCCCGCTTACTGGGCGTAGTACCACCAGCCCTAGCGGGGCTTGGGTGAGCGCTGGTCAGCGCGGAGGCACCGCGAGGAGTGTGCGGTGCGGGCTCCCAGTGAGGGAGCGAGAAGGAGTGTCAGCCAGCCAGGGTTACCCGTCCACCGGTGGGGGGCCACCGGTGGATGGGGGCTGCTGGGCGGTCACGTGGTCTAAAAGAGCTCTCGGGAGCCTTCGAGAAGGAGCTCGAGAGATCTGGAAGGTGGGCGGGGTGAGGGGCGGAGCCAGCCCCAGTCCAGGGGGATATAACGGGGCCCCGTGAGGAGCTCGGGGTTCTTCGTGTGCCGGTGTGAAGAAGATCCACGTCGGGGAGAAGAAGCCTCGAGCCACGCGGTCCGGGACCCAGCTCGTGGTCCGGGCCAGAATAGCGAACCGTGTCTAGTTCTGCCGTAGCGTGGTGAGATGGGCATTCGAGACCCGAGTGTAGATCGTGTTGTGTTAAAGTTGCGTAATAAATAGTGTTGCTCCCAAGATAACATCTGCGACTCATTTGGATTCACTACATATAGTGTGTCGTAAGTAGTGTAGTCAATAGTATTTTTATTTTATTTTTATTACTACATTATAGACTGCCAGTACGCTCACCGAGGTTAAGAACCAGGTTACAGTCTACATTATAGACTGCCAGTACACTCAACCAGCTTAATAATCATTGCTACAGTCTACATTATAGACTGTCAGTACACTTACTCCGATTAAGAACCAGGCTACAGTCTACATTAGTGTTTTATTTTATTTAACTTGTTTTATTCACTTTCTTTTTTATAATTTTTCTATCTACGTGACTTTATCGAAAGAACCAAAGCGTATAGTCTATAGTAGTAGAGTGTATCGTGTAGTGCATAGTAGTGGAGTGTATATTAACATGTATGTTGAAATGTCTTTCGCGCCGTATGTAGCCAACCATGCTAATCGGAGGTGCGGGGGAAGGACACAATATCTGCAAGGTGAATGTTTTCCGAGTGCCCAATGAACATCGCCCCGAAGCTGGTGGCCAAACAATCCACGCCGGGTTGTTGATGCGCTGCACAACCAGAGAATGAGGTTGAGAATGTCACACCCTTGTCAGTGCCCCCTACCTTGTTACAGACCAATTCAGACCTTATTGGTCACCCCGTGCCCCCTTATACATCTCGACGTTCATCCTACAGAGTCCCATCACAAGGGAGAAACACAAACAAATAGACACAAATATTTTATTTTGCCCGCATTGAAACGGCTGTACGCCGTATGAAATCTGCAAACTCAATTTCCCCGTACTAGGATACGAGCTATAAAGCCGTATTGGTTGACAGCTATGATGTTAGTTCGTGGACGACAGCTGCCTGCAGTGGTGTTTCTCCCCAACTCGGCCTCGACTCTCACCGTGGCAGTGTTGGTAAAACCTTCGCGTCATTTCCCTCCCAGGCAACTCCTGTTAAAACAAACATCGCTGTGTGTCTGGCGAGGAATGTGACTTTTCACTTTATTTTCATCATCAAACACTGTGAAGTTATCTTGCAAACACCGCGCATACGCGAGTCAAAAAAAGCAAAATTGCTCATCGGCTGTGCATCTCATGCAACAACAACAGCAGCAAAATATCGAACAGCATTTCCAGAAGAACCGCATTGTGGACGCTCTTGTCGGAGAGCTCCATCATCAACATCAACGTGAGCCCGAGACCCAATAAGTAGAACACGCGGTCTGCAGGTGTCCATCACTGCACTGCTGCTGCCGGCAGGCGGTGCCACGTGTGCCCGGCCACGTGCGATGCGATGGGGACTCACGGTAATCGGATCACAATACGGGTCTTCGGGAAATGATGATGGGGTTTTTTTCATAAGGGTTAGGGGGGTTGGGTGAAGTGCTGTTGACACATTTTTCCACGTTTGTTTTTAAACGCGTGATTTTTTGAGATGCGCAATCTCTCTCTATATCATGATGTGAGTTTTAGAGATTTGTTTGAAAGTATTTTTTAATTGTATAACAGAGCACTGTACCAGGGGTGGAGTGGTGACGCAGTGGTTCACGCACAGTGCATGACCCCGATGGTCAACGCCATCAATGACCCGTCCCGACGACCCGAGTTCGAATCCCGACCACGTTTAACATCGTGGATTTTTTGCTTTTTATTATTTTAAATGTATTATTTAAAAATCTTAATTTAATTATATTATTCTTATTTAATTTATTTTTATTTTCTATCTACGTGACTTGACTGAAAGAACCAAGAATATGGGAAAAATGGGGTTACGTTCCTGGTACGAGTGAACATGGGGGGGGGGGTGGGCGGAATGTTTCAGGACTACCATAAATAAATACTTCATTATAAAAAAACAATGTGTGCTTGTTACCCTTTGATGATGATTTGACGACAATGGAGGTGGTGGAGATGGTGAGGAATGCAGGAGGGAGAAGCAGCTGTTTGATCACAACGCCGCACAGCTGTTATCATTCCAGCACTCTGGGCAGCGCTGCCCGCAACACTTTCCCCGACTGCATTCGCGTTCCTTTGAATGGACCTCGCAGTCGACTCGTTTCTTCCAAAATGTATCGGCGAGTCCACTAAGTAGGTATCAAGTAAAAATGCCAACAGCGAGTTCAGAGCGGGATTCCTGCCAGGCTGAGAACAAAGCGGGCAGCCGAGGGGGCGCGCCTACTCTTCGTAGCAGACGGTTTCAATGTCACAACGTTCTGCACGCAACCTCCCCGGTGCCGGTGGCCTGGCACGACGTTCACTCGCGAGTACTCGAGTCCGGCGGGTCGCGAATAGGGAACGAGTAGACATTCAGTAACTCGCGAATAGGGAATGAGTACACATTCAGTAACTCGCGAATAGGGAATGAGTACACATTCAGTAACTCGCGAATAGGGAATGAGTACACATTCAGTAACTCGCGAATAGGGAATGAGTACACATTCAGTAACTCACGAATAGGGAATGAGTACACATTCAGTAACTCGCGAATAGGGAATGAGTACACATTCAGTAACTCGCGAATAGGGAATGAGTACACATTCAGTAACTCACGAATAGGGAATGAGTACACATTCAGTAACTCGCGAATAGGGAATGAGTACACATTCAGTAACTCGCGAATAGGGAATGAGTACACATTCAGTAACTCGCGAATAGGGAATGAGTACACATTCAGTAACTCGCGAATAGGGAATGAGTACACATTCAGTAACTCGCGAATAGGGAATGAGTACACATTCAGTAACTCGCGAATAGGGAATGAGTACACATTCAGTAACTCGCGAATAGGGAATGAGTACACATTCAGTAACTCGCGAATAGGGAATGAGTACACATTCAGGAACTCGCGAATAGGGAATGAGTACACATTCAGTAACTCGTGAATAGGGAATGAGTACACATTCAGTAACTCGCGAATAGGGAATGAGTACACATTCAGTAACTCACGAATAGGGAATGAGTACACATTCAGTAACTCGCGAATTCAGAACTCGGGCATGAGATCGGATTGTTTATACACAGCGCCAGTTACTCATTGAAGGCCAAGTTGAGGTGGGAGTGGGGGGAGAGGGGTCCATGCCCGGTTCAGATCATCATCACCGTCGTTTGTCGTGTGCGGGAATCGAACTCGGCTCGCTGGGTTCGTAGCGCAGTGCGCTAACCACTCCGCCACCGCTCCCCAGAATGCGGTGCTTACGCCCCAGGGTGCACAGAAACGTCAACTCCGGGGCCGGGAGGTGAAAACTGTCAGCGACGGTGTTGTCCGATCACGTCGATGGTCGTAAAATCGTGCGGTGTGCGCCTAGCACATGGAGCATCGAGGCTCACCCATCCTGTAGCTCGTCGCAGAGATAACACAGTAAACATTTATTAGAATAAAAAAACACAATTTACAAGGCACGCATATTTCACGTATCGGATGCATTGTTCGATCGAGAACTCGAGAGGCGCAGATCCAGACGTCAAAGTCCCCCCTCGTACGCCAGCCTGGGCAGGTGCGAGCCTGGAGCTGCTGCTGCTTAAAGGTGCTTGGGATGCTGCTGCTGCTGAGTGAGAATCAGAGAAACGGCGCTCCGTAGGACGTTTGCCGTGGTCAGCGGAGTGTGGAAGGTGGAGGAGAGGTACAGGGGAAGACGTGGAGAGAGAGCTCTGGGGGGAGCAGGATAGCGGTATTGAGCTGTGCCCATGGTTTGTTGGCGAGCCAGGGTAAGGGTTGGAGCGAAGCGATGGAAGCCGCGGGGTTATTTTGGAGCCACTGTAGTTTGGAGTCGTGTTCAGAGATGGACAAATTATAATCAAATTACAGACCACTTGAGTCTTCTTCTGTCGTATGGCTGATGCAGATCAACAACTGCAGTTCCACGTGCAGGTGGTTATGAAGGCACACAACCGCGTCAGGAGCAGCTGTGAAGTCCCCTTCGTATTTGTGGATCTGCCATTGCGTCGTTAAGCGTTGCACTACGGTCTGTTCTGGATGAAACACAGTCGCACACTGGAGCGTTTCAATTTTCCATTTGTGCATCAGATACCGACATCTACTGCCCTGGGTTGTGCAGTGGATGTGGTTATGGTGGACCATGAGCTTCGTGGAAGATCGAACCCAGTGATCTTCAGCGTTGGGTCTTCACAAGGTGGTGTTTGTGAGTCCTTTTGAACTCCATTCAGCTCCCCACGCTTCATCGGGTTGAACTCACATTGATGCAGGTTAAGCGCGTGGGTCCAAAAGCGCTTGGCGTGACTTCAAGCGATGCCGAGGGACGTTATTGAGGTCCCAGTGAATGGGAAGGCGACTGCTTCCCTCGATTTTCAGGCCTCCCTGGAGGGTTGCAGCGTTGCGGCGGATGGGTGGGACAGAGATTTGGTGACAGCACGCGCAGCCAAGGTGTTGGGGTCGACTCGAGGGCTCTGGTGACACACCACATTGCAGTGTTCAGTTGGACATCAACAAGTAGAGTGGTGACTGCTTCTGGTCCAGACTGGTGCGCAGCACTTGGCTACAGGGTACACGAGGGCCATCGTTGATGTCCGTAGCACTGAGGGTGCTGATGCTCCTCAGCTTGTGGTTGCCAGTTTCTGGAGCAGGTTGACCTCTTGTTTGGGTCTTGGCGGCTACCTTATTCAGGTGGTGGGGATTTGGCTTGAGCCTCCATTTGGTGTTTAGGTCTTGGTTCAGAGTGGATTCGATGTCATTGAAAGGGGCTGCTTGCGCTGCCAGGCGAAGGTCATCCGCACGTAGTAATTTGCGTGACCCGGTTGGTGGCGTGTCACTCATGTAGCCATTGAAGAGCGTTGGCGCGAGCACCAAACCTTGTGGCAATCCATGGTTGAGGAACCGCTGTGAGCTGAATTTGTCTCCCATAGAGACACGCAGTCGCCTATTGCTTAGCATCATCCATATGAGTATTGTTTCGAGGCAGGGAATGGTCCTAAGCGAGCTTCAACATCAAGCGCTTAACCCAGACTGTGTCGTAGGGCGATGACAAGTCCACAAAGGATGCGCCGGTCTTGGCTTTCTTCTGGAATCCACCCTCGATGTACGTTGCATGCCTTGATCACAGCAGCTGCGTCCAGGCCGGAATCCCGCTTGTTCTTCAGGGATCGCTGACTCGACGAGGGGGCCGATTCTTCAGGGGATGATGCATTCCAGGAGTTTATAGGTGGTGCATAGGAGCGATATTGGCCTAGAGCTTCCCAGGTCGGCTTGCCCAGTTTGGGAATGGCAATGACCATCGCCTCCCGCTATGCTTTTTTGTGGTATGTATCCACTTTTCATGGTTTTAGTGGACAGTTTTGCCTGCTATTGGTGTCCTCTTGGGCCTAAGTGATGGAAGAATTCAGGGGGGATACAATCTCTGCCAGCAGCCTTGCCTTTCTCCATTGTGAAAAAATTGAGGCCATTACCTGGTGTAATTGGTGATGGATCTCTCACTTGGTGGTTTTTGTCGAGCTGTCCTTTTGTGTTCTCCACTAGTATGGAGGCTATAGAGTTGGGCAGGACTCTTGCAGTTCAGTATTCTATTGAATTAGCAGCACCCAGGCGTTGTAGTGGGGCCCAGGCACGGCGGCCGAAGTGTGCAAAATCCAGGGCCTTCAACACACTCAAAACACCGCTGACATCTGGCTGAGTCTAAAGACTCTAGCAGGGTATTAATTCTAGATTTGAAGCTTTCGTGACTGCAAGGATTCATATTCTTAGGTTTTTTCGGTAAAGTCAGGTAGGTAAAAAATTAAAATTAATAAAAGAAAAATCACGACTGAAGCCGGAAGCTTGTGTTGCCTCCGAAACGTCGTGATTTTTATTTTTATTTTATTAATTTTAATTTTTTACCTACGTGACTTTACCTAAAAAAACCTAAGAATATACTCTAGCAGGGCCTTTCAACCTGTAGGTTGCCTGACTGCTTGCACTGTCGGAGCAGGCCCTGGATCTCCTTTGTCCAGCAGGGAGTGCAATCTTTCCGGAAGCCTCGGGGGATGCTCTTCTTGGCAGCTGCAGTCAGGAGGCCAACAAATTGGTGATATCATTCCGGTGCCACAGCAATTTGACTCACCACTCTTTCTAAAGCCTCCTTAGTGAGCTTTAACCAGGTCCCACCTTGGTTACCGTTTGGACAGAATCATGGGATTGCGATGCCGATGTGGGTGATGATGGGCCTATGTTGCTTGCTGCTTGGGATCAAAACCCAGGTGAAATCTTTGGCAGACATCCAGTCAGTGAGGTCTTCGCCGTCGGTCTGATTTAATGAATAGCTCCACAAGTCACGAGCGTATAGGGCTGGGATCGGTGCACTTGGAAGTGCTGGCTTTAGACATTTTGAATTAGGTTGGTGACGTGCAGCTCCCCCATCTCGATGCTGGTGGCTTCTTTTTCAGTTCCATGCGTTTAGAATATTTGGCTGCTATACATTTCCACATGATAAGCCACGTCACTGAGCTATCATTTGTGGCCAGGCCGTTTGTGAAAAAGAACTATATCGCTAAGTGGGCCTTACCTGGTAAAATATAAAAAATAGTTAAGTGTCTGTGATGGGGTTCTTCGCGTATGTGGCCAAGCCACATTTTGGGTGGTAGTGGCTCGTCGTGAGGATGTATCCATGGATGTTGTAGTGACTGCCATGTAGGGCATCCCAAACGTTGGTTTTTTGGAGTGTCAGAACATCGACGTTATGGCTTTTCATAATGTTTGCGAGATACTCACACTTCGTCCGGGAGAGTGCCTCAATGTTCAGACCACTGGAGTCATGTAATGGAAGTGGGGACTCCAAATCTACGGTTTGCAGAGGCAGACTCTGCAGCAGTGAGCATTGGTAACTGTGCCGTGCTGATAAGTCAGAATGATGATGAAGCTGGCCTACAGTTGTCTATGACTGCATCGTCATCATCACTGCTGTTGGTAGTTTTGTTTCCTCACATTTATTGTGATGGTCACCTAATTCAAGAAGACTACGATACAGTTCTTCAGGAACTGCTGCTGGTTTCTTGCATATTCTACAACCGCTGCGCTACTTTTGACTAATATAGTATCCGTACATCGTTTAAAATGTAGAGTATCATCATAGATGTAGACAACCGATTAAACTGCATCGCGTGCAATTTAGATACAAGTTGCCAATTACAATGAGACATGTAATTTAGATACCAAATTTCACAAGTAATGAAGTTGCATATTTAAATTACGTGTAATTTATAGATCATGCCATCATCTCAGCCCCCAAGTTTGCGCCGGCGGGGTGAGGGCACGCGATGGCAAAGTACGGCCTCACGACTGCGTGGGCCACGGTGGCTGCTTGGGTTCCCATCGACATCAAAGTGTGCTGTGCGCTGCGCTCACATGACAACTAGAATATACCCAGTATTTAAACGAAGATCCGGGGTTCTTCGAGACTTTCTGTCTCCTTTGCGGGTTCCCGGCTCATCACTGATTAAAGGACGGCTCATCCTATAGAGAGGATGCATTCGCAGCCGCGAACTCAGTCTAGTTGCGCTGCTGTGCGACAGGCCACGAAATCCTAAACAGACGCTGCACGTCAGCGTCTCTTCCATCTACGGTGGCCTTCCGCTTCCGCAGGACATGGCTTGCGCTGGCGACGATGGGAAAGGTTTACTGGCAGTCCTGACACCCTGGTGTGTCTGCTGATGCAGCGTGCTGATGCGGGGATGATGTCGGTTGCGTAGCGTCGTCGGTGGTTATTGTAGTGGCAGCAGTGCCTGCGGTGATGTTAATGGTGGTGGCGCTGCTGGTGGCGGTCGTGGCAGGGAGTCGGCATCGCTCGTCGCTTGCAAGCAGACGGAAGCTGCCGCTCGGTGTGCGAGGGGGACGGAGGGACGAGGCTTCTTAGATGAGGTTGTGGACTTTGAGGTTCTCGTTGAGCACCGTGTGGCGCACGTCAGCGAACACGATGCGGATGTTGTCGGTGTCGGTGGCGCACGTGAAGTGCGAGAACACGATCTTGCTCTTGTCCTTGTTGGCCTGGAGGTACAGCTCTTGGATGAACTGCTGGGCGGCCTTTGCATCCTTCGGTTTGCCTGGCTCGCACACGGAGGCGCATACACGGTCACGCGCAGTCATGCACGGTCACGCACACGTGACCAGGCACGGTGACGCACACGTGCCCATGCACGGTCACGCACACGTGACCAGGCACGGTGACGCACACACCGTTTGCCAATTAACAATACCAATAATAATAGCTGAGTACATTTGGTATTGATGGTATTCGGAGGAAGGTGCAACGGCGCACAGACGGGTATATCCTGCCAGTAGTGAGCGACGTTGCTCTGTGCAATCCCAATTGAGTCATTTGCAATAAATCGTGCAAACTTTGACTGCGACGCCAGCACAAAAAGGGGCTGCTCGTTTCAAATAACGCTGTCCACTACGAAGGTAGAGAGCGCGTATTCATATGGTTGATGCCGCTGCATTAACCATGCAAATTTGAACCGTGAACCTCTGCGACAAGCGGCGAGCGCGCTGCCGCCGGGCCCTCACATCGCCACCGCCGCCCATGAAGCGCCGCGTGCCGCCATCGGAGCTCGCACCTCGGTAGGCCGGGAAGTAATCGGCGAGGTTCGAATTTTGCAGCTTCTCCTCCAGGATGTCCTTTTTGTTCAGGAAGAGGATAATGGAGGATTCCACGAACCACCGGCATTCCAGGATGGTGCTGAACAGCGCCAGGCTCTCCAGCATGCGGTTCTGGCGATGCAATGGCATAAAAAGACGCAAAAGCACAGCTCAATCACCAGGACTCACAACTAACCCCGTTAGTTGTTTGGAGCTGACTAGACAACACAATGGAGTGATAGCATCGAAGTCTAACAGCGATAGCGAACCATCCTGGTGGATGTTAAACAACTTACATGGTAATGCTGCTGCTGCTGCTACGTTGGCAGCAGCGGCGCATGATATACAAGACGACTCAACACGTTCGTCATCAACAGCGCCGTGCGTGTGGCCATAAGAGGAAATAAAATATGCAACAGGGAACGTGTTGGGCAATGGCCCCTCTTCACCGTGGCTAGGAGATGTTAACTACCTCGCCTGGTATACAGGAGGTCGTGGGTTTGATCCCGACCCTGACGTCTATATATTTGGAGTTTGCGTGTGTCTCTCCCTGTGGTCGCGTGGATTTTTCTCCAGGTCCTCCGGTTTTCCCTCCACAATTAGAAAGATGCCTTTAGAGTGTTTGGCTGCTATAAATTCCCACGTAATAAGCCACTTTGTTGAGCTACTATTTGTGGCCAGGTCGCTTCTGAAAAAGAGCTGTACAGCTCAGTGGGCCTCACCTGGTGAAACACAAATAGTGGATAGTCGTAGTAATGGCCAGAGTGGAGAAGAGTTTAGGACTGCACCATGGGGCCTGATGAGAAGTACTTTCTTTTAAGATTTTCTGATGACCAGCTTTTAATTGGCACACGAATAGTCAACGAATAGTAGCTGTTGGGTGGCATCTCTTGAGTAACACACGGCATGAGATGGACCCTGCCGTGCACACAGTAAACACGCAGCTCTACGATGGCTCGCTCACCACACTCCGAGTGGTAAGGCCCCCCACGAGAGGGAGCCCTGGGGAGTCCCCCTAGAGAGGGTATTTGGCCTACTCTTCCACACTTTCCAGACATCTCGGTAGTACCCACACTTTACCCCACCACACGCGGCCTGCGGGGTGGACAGAGGCAACGGGTGGGATTTAAAGAAATGTTTCCGTTGTTTGAGCTGCCGTGCCGGGAGATCGAACCGGCGACCTGTGGATGACGTGGTTGTGCTCAGCTGGAAGGAGTGAGTCGTCAAGGAAAGGGTTATGCGTGTCAGATACAGCCACCCACATGGATGGGCATCGACTGCGTGGTGATGTCTGTCGCCTCGACTGGAGGCGTGCGCCAAGTGACCCGGCCTGAACCCCCACGCTTCAGCAGTTTCATAACACAACTCAAGTGCGCAATATCCTAAGCTCTTCTCTAAATGGGGCTTCAGTGATGCCCTGTAGTCTAAGTGAGACCCTGTGGTCTAAGTGATCACTTGTGTTGTGATCGAAACGTCGTGATTTTTTGTTTATTTTAATTAATTTTGAACCTATCTACGTGACCTTACCGAAAGACCCAAAGAATATGAATTCCTGCAGTCACGAAAGCTTTAAGTCGGGACCTTGATTCTTCATCGACCAATTGTGACCGGTCAATTCCTGAGTGTGACCGGACCGACGGCTCGCTCGGGGTCCCCACCCCCATGCCCTCCCCACCACTCATCACGCTGCTCCACACACGTGGAATGTGTAAGAATGCCATCAGGTTACAGGGCCGTGTTGACACGCTGCCACACAATGGCTTGATATAATTAGGCGTCGCCATGGGAACCCAACGCCCTCGGTCTCGACCCACCTAGCCCGCACGCACTCCTTTGTCTCGCGGCTTTCCCACCGCTTACAGAATGAGACTTTAGAGTTGGTCTACTGTCGCCCTTAGGCAGAGCCAACTGTCCCCCACAGCGAGCAGGGAGGGGCGGTCCACCAGGCAGCAGCAGCAGCAGTCGGCAATGATGGCTGTGCTGATGAGTCGTGAGTGTTGACACGTGTGCGAGGAAACTGGAGCACCCGGAGAAATGCACGCGTGCTAGGGGGCAACGCTCTATCCCCTGACAGATGGGACAGATTACAGCGGTAGTCCACACTTTGCTGTGCCGCCTCCTCCTGGCGAGCCACGCTACGGGGGAGTGTCACGACATCTCTGCGGTGATCCACCAACCCTGGCCGCTGCCTCCGCAGTGCTGGATTACAGGCAGCCACGTGCGTAGCGACCACTACCCGGCTGACGCTAGAGGCTGACGACGACAACAAGAGCAAGTGAGAGGGGTGCGGCAAGGGGCCCTGAGCCTCACCACGTGGCCTTCCTCCATGAGCACCTGGTCGTACTCGCTGAGTGCCGCCAGGAACATGACGGACTCCACGTTCTCGAAGCAGTGGATCCACTTCCTGCGCTCGGAGCGCTGCCCCCCCACGTCCACCATCCTGGAGTGGGGGTGGCGAGGACGGTGGGGGGGGGGTTGAGGGAGGTGGTGGAGGAGGTGACGAGAGAAATGAAAGGTCAGGAGTCGAAGTTAGTTCGTGGATGGGGAAAGTGCTTGCCACGTACAGTCTAGGCAACTACTTAGCCACAGCACCACTGTGATTCTACTCCTTTAATATCATTGATGCCATCATCATCAACACCACCACTTTAGTATGTATTGCCACCATCATCGTCGTTAATCAACTGCTGGATGAATGCTCCTTTATCCCGTCGTGCCCCCCCACCTGCTGAATTCAGCTGCCCCCCCCCCCTCCCACTCTGTGACACAACGACACCCTGATCGCTTGCATCCTTGCTCACCTGAGGACCATCTTGTTGAGCGTTAGGGGGTACTCGATGATGCCGGTGGTGGGCACGCGGACTCGCAGCACGTCCTGCTGGGTGGGCACGTAGCCAGGGGACACCAGCCGGCTCAGGTCGTTCAGGTAGCTGCGGCGGAAGAGGGGACGGGGTCACTCGGAGGGTCGCGTGATCCATGTTGAAGACCGGTCCACAGAAGCAGATGCCACTGAACTACTCCTAAGTTCCGTGGGATTGACCACCACATATGACCACAGTAGGGGTCGCTAAACGTTCTCACGTGACTCTTCCGCAGATTAATGTCACATCACAGTCAGACTTGTATTTTTTCAGAGCTGTTCCTTAGCTGAATTAAGTGATCCAAATTGAACGTGATGATTTTGTTGTGCAAGGCTCCGACCAACTCTGTGCGCTTAAGACCCACGGTTTGTTCACAGGCGGCCGAAACCCAGATGCAAACACGGGATCTCAAAAGGTGGCGGCTTGGTGCTCTCGATCGGCGAGGCCACGCGGCCAACTCTCACCAAGCCACGGGGGACCGCCCCACTCACTATTTGGTGGAGTCGCTGATCTGGAACTCCCGGCGGCGCTCGTAGCAGGCCTTCATGCCGGCGTCGGCCCACAGGCTGGCGATGGCGCGAGCGCACTGGTCGTTCAGGCTGTTCATCTTCATGGAGTCCAACTCCTGGACAAAGCGTGCCTGCGCCTAGTGGTGGCGGGGAGGAGGGGGAGCAAACGGGCCCCGGGGGAACAACGGGGTCAAGGTCATGGGGGAACAGCAGGGTCAGCATCATGGGAGGACAGCGGGGTCAGGGCCCCTGGGGTAGAAGCGGGGTCAATCACCCCACCAGGTAAACATTTTGAAGGCTTAAGTCGACCCAGGGGAGGTCCACAACTGGTTCAGATATTCATGACCGTTATTAGTCGTAAGCGGGAATTGGAAGTTGGATCATTGGGTTTGTAACACAGGGCGCTAACCACTGCGCTACCGCTCCCCTGTGGGACAGACACCCACACAACGACAATCCCGGGTGGTGCTGCCATTCAGATGCTGCTGATGTAAACGAAGGTGCTGGGGGAAGGGGGTTGGGGCGGGGGTTGTGCTCGAGATCCCCGTGTTGCAGGGAGCCGGTTGGTGCCGGTTGGTGCCGGGTTGGTGCTGGGGTGGAGCCGGGTGTCGCACTTCCAATTAGCACAGTTGCCTACGTACGGTGCCAAAGAAGTTCGACATACAGCTCGGCGGCACCGGGGCACGGTCCTCACCCGGTTGCTCTCCTTCTCGTAGGGAATGCCCAGGGTGTGCATGGCGTGCGCCAGGCTCTGCACGCTGGCCAGCACGTTCTGGTGGACCTGCTTGGCGAAGCTTCGCCGGTCCTCCTCGGTGTAGCCCAAGCCGTGGATGATGCGCATCTGCTTGATGAAGGTGCTCTTGCCGCTCTCACCCGTGCCTGCGGAGGAGGCAGGGACAACCCTCAAGACAGCTCCACAGCCACAACCAGAGCCCTGCAGTCATAGTCACAGCCCTGCAGCGTCACTCACAGCCCTACAGCGTCACTCCCTGCAGCGTCACTCCCTGCAGCGTCACTCCCTGCAGCGTCACTCCCTGCAGCGTCACTCCCTGCAGCGTCACTCCCTGCAGCGTCACTCCCTGCAGCGTCACTCCCTGCAGCGTCACTCCCTGCAGCGTCACTCACAGCAGCGTCACTCACAGCAGCGTCACTCACAGCCCTGCAGTCTCACGTGGCAGGGATTGATTTGCAGCGTGAGCTGGTGGCATCGTGTTGAACTGCATTGCAGTATTCTACCGTCCTGATTAGACCTGGTGCTGGCTGACAAGCATGTCCACGTGTGTATTATTTGTTTAAAAGGTGGCACACAGAGTTAATAGGTGCTCGCAAAAACACGCGGATTATGCCTACAGTTCCGTTAACGTAATGGCTGGAAGCAGGAGTCAACGACCCCATGGGCCATCACCATCATAGCGACCACAACCGCCACTGCTATCACCGCCACCATCACGCCCTCCTCGGGTGTCACAGAAATTGGGTTTAGTTTTCGGTTCTGGAGAAATGTGGCCTGGGAAACGCGAGCTCATGGCATCTGGCGCCGCTCTCCCAGAGAGCCTCTCCGCCAAATAACATTAATCTCGATAACAACAACAACAACAAGGACCTCCAACCGTGGTGGTCACAAACACCATCAACTGAGCTAGATTCCCCGGCCATGGCTAACATCGATTTCTCTGAATCCGACCACTGTAGTAATTACATAGGCGCGTGCTAATCCCTCTACCCTACCCCCCGCTGCCCCCCCAACCCGCCCTTCACCAACCCGCAGTGACCAGCAGAGTGAAGTATGCTCAAACAACTCCCTGAACGGCATGGGGAGGCCTTCATCCAGGAGTGGACTGTCAAAGGGGCCGTAATTGATTAGAATTATGAACAACAATAGCGATGGCATTTTCGTAGCCAATATTACGATCAACGTAACGATCTGGCCAAATTTGTCGCTAACACCCGGCACCACACAGCAAAACAAATTAAATTGGCAGGCGTACACGAGTTTGAAGGCACGCCAAGAATGACTTTTGTTCTCAAACTCACTTTCTGGTGGGTTAGAGAACAATTATCACAAACAAACTTAGCACAAGCTTCATTTGAATTTGCATCAAACGGCCGTGCACATTGCCGCACTTTGTCACGAGTTAGTGGCTGTTCACGTTTATTCTGTGTTTTCGATGAACGGTAAACGTGTGACTACCGTTCATCGACGATAAACTTCTGACATGGCCACGTCAGCGGTGGCAGCGACAACGCATCGTCGACACGCGCCGAGACGACGTTTACTCAAGGGACATCAACGCGCATCAGCTGGAGGGGACGACGAATGACAAGAATGTTGCCACGGTAAGCGGACATTGGCCCCTGTGGGAGTCGCCCTGGCGCCAGAAGGTAGCGCAAGGCACCGTGAAACAAAGCCGGCCAAACCGTCACCGACGTTTGTCCCGTCTATTATCGCTTAACACGTGCCACCTTTCTGACACAAATCTGCCACCCAAAGCGCCCGGCGGGCATGCCTTGGGTCCACCTTGAACAAGTGTTCCGGGCCACGATGGACGTGGCTGGCTGGACACAGGAAGAGCCACTCCAAGAACTGCCCACCTTCTCGAACAGCGACACGCCGGACGCTTGGCTCGTTATTCCTGTGGCCAGATGTGGCACACTCGACGACGCCCTGAGGAGGGAGATGGCGACTTTGTACGGACCGACTTTAGGGGCCCTGCTGCTCCAACAGTTTCAACAATTGGAGAGGAGAATCGGACAAATGTCGCATACCATTGCTTGGCTTGGCCTTCCTGCGCTGGCACATCCTGTCGATTCAGGTGTGGTTGTTCGCTATTATGGAGCTTATTAAGTAGCATGTCACCATCAGTGGCTTGCCCCTGGTCGGAGTGTAGCGGTCCCCCAGAGACGCAGCCAGGCAACCCCCGTATCCTGAGCACCGCTGCCATGCTGATAGGCCTCGACAAGGTAAGGTAATTTACCCTTTTTACCGGGTAAAAGGGTAAAGGTGTCGACATGCCAAGGGGTAAGGTAAAGGGTAGGGTAAAGGTAGCTCGGAAAAATTACCCAGTAGGGTAAAGGTAGCGCGAATAATTACCCGGTAAATACGGTGCCTTGTTTACCGCTAGAAGCTCCGTGGCGCAGTCCGTGGCCTCCATTTAATAAGTAACATAAAAAAAAACTTTATTAAAAACACGCTTTTATGAAATGTACGAGTAATGGCAGAATTCCACGACTCCAGGAAGTAGCCCCGAGGCTTGCCATATAGTAAGGGACCGTGGTGATTTACAGCCAACGTCAGTTGAGCGTGGACAATTAGACCCAAGCCGAAACATAACATATACAAAATAATGTTTAAAAATATATATTTTTTATGATAGAATATAGTATTGTCATCAGTATGACATAAGTATACCAAGTTTGCAGTCGATACCACATTGGGAAGTGGGTTAAATTTGAGTTACAAGATTTGAGGATACAACAACGACGACGACAACAACAACAACAGACAGTGAGTTAATAGAAAGCGTGTAAAATTGGAATCATCGAGAGTATTCTATATGAATAAAGCGCTCTACCTAGTATGTACCGTTATAACCCTTGTTCATGTGTAGTAGTACCCCAGTAATTACCCTGTAGTCGGGTAATTTGTATGGGGTAGGGTAAAAGGTAGGGTAAAGGTAGGCTCGTTGTTTTTACCTTTTAACTTTTACCTTACCTTGCCGAGGCCTACATGCTGAGCACAGTTCGAGACCACGGTGTTTGGCGTGATCCTCAACAGTGGCGCACGTCCATGTCAACCGTAGTCTACCCCGAGGTCAGCTCCACCAGTCCCGCGGTCGGCCTTTGATGATGGTGCTCAGGGCTCTGGTGCAATGGACTGAGGCCAGTAGCATAACTAACTTTTTTTTTACAACGTAAGGACCACTGAGCGATATATCTTTTTTCAGAAGCGACCTGGCCTCAAATGATAACGAGCCTTGCCCCCTGGTGGCCAAATCTACAAGTTGGGGTCCCCTTGACAACCACCATAAGACGTGTTTTCGACCGTGTAAATGAACAAAGAAAAGTTCAAACGCGATTTAAATGTATTTTTATGAAAATGATAATGGATGAGATTAGTCAAGAGGAGCAGCGACATATAGCCTAGGTGTGACCGTGCGAGACATCAAATAAAGTGGCCACACTTGACAGTACCGCACCCCCTGAGCTGATAATGTAGTTATGCCACTGGCTGAGGCGTCTGCCCGGGAAAGGTGTCCGAAGGAACACTAAATGACAACTGCGTGCTGGGAACAAACACCTGAGCTGGTACTGAACCCCGCCATGCTGAGTTGCACAGCGGCAATGTCTCCACCGTGCTCTGGTAGGGCATTTTCATTCACTCTTTTTCACCTGTTCCCACCACAATGTCGTGAAGTGATGCATACAAACTGTCTGAGAAGTTTGATGCATTGTATAGTCAGATACTGCATGCTCATGAACACAGAAATGGACACTCAAATCATCCAAACTGGGCAATTCTTTTCTTTAATTTCTGCAGCGAAAATAGAAATTGGCGGACATCTTTAAAAATGGCTGCCAAACTTGAATTGTTAAGTGGCTCACTTTTGTTTCTGAAAACATTCACCTTTGTGAATATCTAAAGCAAGCTGCATGCTTGTATCACAATTTGAACGATTCCTGTGGAGAACATGCACTTATCTGCTGTATTACTATCAGCAGAGTGCAGTGCTCAACTCCCCTCTAACGCACTCTTTGGTTATTTCGGTAAAGTCACGTAGGTAGAAATAAAATAAAAGAAATCACGACGTTTCGATCGCAACACAAGCAACCATCATCAGGCGGAACCGATACAGCAGGACAACTGCTGATTTGGGAGCTCAACCACAGGGGTACGTGGGCAGAGCTAGAGAATGAAGAAAGGGGGAGGCAAGGAGGGAGAGGAGAGCTGGGCGCAGGTTATAGATGGAAGGTAGAGAGAAGCTGGGTTAGTGTCGTCCGAGTAATCGACTCGTAAGACGCCATCCACACGACCTGGCTCCTCTGTTCACGGCTCTTCATTTCGACAATCGGAGTGGAGACGGGTTGGTGACTCAAGAGAGAAGGGGGTGGTGATTGTGTGACGAGGCAATTATTGGGGTCCACCCGGGAATCAGAGGAGGAAGAAAGAAAGAGGGGGGGGGAGGATACTTAATTGGATGGGGTATAAAAGACTCGCAGCGTACAGGAGGAGAGAGTAGGTGGGACAGCAGCTGAAGTGAGGGCCTGGAGGAAGAAGGCGCTGGGCCGATGTTAATTGGCAAAATGTTAACTACCTCACCTGGTATACAGGAGGTGGGTTGGATCCCTCCCCTGACGCCTTCATGTTTGGAGTTTGCGTGTTCTCCCTTTGGTCGCGTGGATTTTTCACCGGGTCGTCCGGTTTCCCCCCTCCACATTTAGAAACACGCGTTTAAGAGCATTTGTCTGCTATAAATGTCCACATAAGCTATTTCGTTGAGCTATAATTTCTGGCTAGGTGGGTTCTTAAAAAAAGAGCGATATATTTTGGTGGGCCTCACCTGATGAAATCAACATTTAAGTTTAGTTTCATGGCTCAACGCGGGCGCGGCCCCTTCCCTGGGTAGGGGAGGGGGACCAGGGGGTGGCCGACTCCGCGCGGTGAAGCGCGCGGAGTCGTCGGGGCGCGAAACGGGGAGACGCGGGGAGGGAAACGGGAACGCGGGGAGGCCGTTTACGAGCACAACTTAGACGCAGAGAGGCTGGTGGTGAGTTGTTCAAGGTTATGTAGCGTCGTTCACTAATACGCATAATAATCAAAGTGTCACTCCCGTGCATCGACAACGAGCCCCCTACGTGGGCATTTAATCTGCGTTCCCCCGTCTCCCTCTGTTCTTCCGTGCCCCACTGCCTCTCCGTGTCCCACTGCCTCTCCGTGTCCCCACGTCTTCCCGTCTCTCTCTTTTCCCGATCCTCGGCTTCCTCCCCTGTCCCGCCCCGTGTCTCACCGTGTCCTCTCGTTATCCCTCCGTGTCCTACCCCCCCCCCCCCCCGTGTCTCACTGTGTCCTCTCGTTATCCCTCCGTGTCTCCCCTCCCGTGTCTCCTCGTGTCCCACTCACCCAGAAGCAGCAGCTTTAACTCTAGATGCCTCTTGGACTTGGACTTGCGAATCTGATCTTCGATGAGGTCATTGATTACCTTCTGTTCCTTCTGCTGTGGGCTTTGGCAGCACGCCATTTAATACGACCAAAAATAACAAACAAAAAATAACAAAAATAATAACAAAAAACGCTAACCGGTCTCTACAAATTCAAACAGCTACTTGTAAACAATCCCTACAGCTCGGCGAGTCTTGACTCAATCTGCCCACAACTGTTGAAGTCGTCGTCGTTGTCGTTGGTGGTGGAGTTGGTGGTGGTGGTGGAGTTGGTGGAGTTGCCCTCGGGTGGATTTCAGAGGCCGTGGGGAGTGGGAGGCTCGCGGAGCCTCAATCGCGACTGGACGGGAGGGCGCTCATAGCGACGCCTGAACCCCCGCCACCGACAGCCACGGCCATCACCAGCAACAGCAACACAGCACGCACGGGTCGTCGTGTTGGCAGCAGTAGCAAACAGTCGGAGCAGTGAAAATAACAGTGGTAGTATTGGTCGTAGTAGCAGAAGGAGTAGCAGCAGCAGGATCAGTAACAACAGCAGTAGTATTAGTATGAACAGTGAGTACAAAAGCAACAGCAGGTGTAACCAATACTCGCGGAGAAGCGGCGGCGGCGGTGGTGGTGGTCGCGTGAGTGGTGAGTGGTGACCGTGCGTGTGGTGGGCGCGTGAGTGGTGAGTGGTGACCGTGCGTGCGGTGGGCGCGTGAGTGGTGAGTGGTGACCGTGCGTGCGGTGGGCGCGTGAGTGGTGAGTGGTGACCGTGCGTGTGGTGGGCGGTGGTGATGTGGCGACCGTGCGTGAGGTGTCGCGTGAGTGGTGGTGGTGACCGTGCGTGCGGTGGGCGCGTGAGTGGTGAGTGGTGACCGTGCGTGTGGTGGGCGCGTGAGTGGTGAGTGGGTGACCGTGCGTGTGGTGGGCGCGTGAGTGGTGAGTGGTGACCGTGCGTGTGGTGGGCGCGTGAGTGGTGAGTGGTGACCGTGCGTGTGGTGGGCGCGTGAGTGGTGAGTGGTGACCGTGCGTGTGGTGGGCGCGTGAGTGGTGAGTGGTGACCGTGCGTGTGGACGCGGCGTGTCTCGCTGCGCTGGAGGAGGAGCAGCAGCCACGCAGAGGAGGAGGAGGAGGAGGAAGCGCCCGGTTCCCCGAATGCGGGGGGGGGGTCACAGCGGAGGGGCTTGGGGGTTGGTTGGACACCCTCCCTGGCCCAGCCGCCCCAGGAATGCGGCTCAGGTGGTTCCCCCCCTCGCCCTTTCCCCTCCACCCCTCCCACGCGCGGGTTGATCCAGGTGAAGATCACGCATTCCAGGTATTAAAGAGACTCCCGCCCGCGGAGACTTTTCAAAACGGGCGGCTGCGACCTGTGTTGTTGGCGAGCACCTTTGTTTTTAATATAGTCAGAAATGGCGTGTCAGGTGGGTGGTGGTGGTGGTGGAGGTGCCGTGGGTCAGCATTACACCCCGCCGCCTTTGTCTCCCCATTGCGTCGATGTGCACACACCGCACGAGAAACTCGTGTGGTTGGTTCCCGGCTCCACACTTATTATGGATGGGGTTGGCGGGGAGGTTCCCGTTGCAGCGCCATGAATGTAATAGTCATGACAGCCATCCGCATCCTCATCATTCCTCGTTCTTCACTCACTCTCGTGCCTGGGCAATGCGAGTGGACCGGTCTGGCCGGGTCCACGCCCTCCCCTCTGCGCTGCGAGACGCGGCGGTGGTGATGCGCGGAACTCGCCCATAATCACTCGCGTCTTTGTGGAGGATATTAACAACACAAAATAGATGAGCGCGCAGATTCGCCCTCCTCCTTCACTTATCCGCTTTTTTGTTGTTGTGTCGGAATGTTCGTGACACTGTACACCCTACTCTTTGGTTTTTTTCGGTAAAGTCACGTAGGTAAAAAAAATATAAATTAATTAAAATGAAAAAAATACAGATTTAATTTATTTTCTATTTTTTACCTACGTGTTTTGACACGCACGTGTCCGGATCAGCAAAGTCAGGCTCGCTTGAATCAATGCAGGCGAACAGCCAAATGTTTTTCATGATAGAGGTATTTTGGGATATATCGCGTAAATATGCATGTGTCGTTAAACCGGCCACCACCCGACACAGCCAATTTGTAAGGTTTTGCCAAGTAAACAGAACGTGGCCAATTCGTCACTAGTACAGCACCACCGGCGTGTTGGAGAGCCAAGCCACAACATTTACAATCCGAGTACGACGTTTCGCCAGTAATTACAACTGGCATCATCAGGCGGACAGCAGCCAAATTTGTGGAGAAACCCTCCTCGTGTTTCGTCCCTTAAATAGAGGGGCAGATGTGATGGCGTCACTTGTTGATTGGCAATGAGCAGTTTGGACACACGGCGTCTCGTCAGCAGAGTCGGGCTGGTGACACTGCCGATCGAAGCGGCAATGACCCGCGCACGGGCTCCAGTCGCTTACGGGCCACGAGATTCACTTGGTGATTGTTTCCGCTGAGCGTGGCACGGAGCGGCATCCACAGGACGACGGAACGCGTCCGAGAAGGGGCCCCGCCCGCGGGCGAGACGGATGCGACCGCATGGGCGCGCGTGCGCACGCGACGGTGCGTCATCGTGATATTCTTGGTCGCGTAGATAGAAAATAAAAAATATACCATAACATTTTTAAAAAAAATAATAATAAAAGCAAAAAACCCCACGTAATCGTTGTCAACGTCTCCCCACTTTGGGTGTTTCGAGGCGGCGGAGAAAATATATACTAATGTGTCGTTAAACCCACCACCACCCGGCACAGCCAATTGGGAAGGGTTCACCACGTAAACAGAACGGTGGCCAATTCGTCACTAGTACAGCACACCGGTGTGTTGGAGAGCAAATCCACAACATTTACAATCAATTAGCGACACATTTTTACCGCATGTAAGTTCAAATCACACGCGCACAACCAAATTCCCAATCTGCACGTGGTGCCCGGGAGGAGCTGCGTCCCACGTCACATCGCAGCTCTCTGATGGAGACGACTTGGGGAGGCCTTCATCCAGCGGTGGATAGATCACGGCCGGCGATTAAATCCTTTAAAACGAGCTACAGTGTAGATTTTGGGGCGTGGGTGTTTGTGCAAGAGAACCCGCGGGGGATATTGTCTAATTCCATATGCATTTGTCGTAACACGTCTGTTTTGTAAGCCAATAAATATTACAAAACCTTCGTTATTAAACTTTTTTTTTACGGTTTCACATTTGTGCCATGAGACCCTCCCACCACCCGACATTTGATTGTGTTGTTGGGTATTGTCTCGGACAGCTCCATACAATATCGCTTGCACACCGCGGGAGAATTACAATTTTGTTTGGCTGCGTCGGGTGGTGGGAGGGCATCACGACAGAAAATGTTGGCCCGATCATTCTTGCAGTGTTATTTCCGGTCGAACCCAACAATGTTATCAATGTATTTTTTCATCACTTAAACACGTTTGAACTTTTAACAGCGACGTCGTGCATCCAGCAGTGGGCAGAGAATGCTACTGTTGACGCCACCAAGCAAACGGAAATTCATTGACTGTCAACACACCCCTGGCAAAAATGATCAAATGGTTTCTCCCCATACTTGAAATTCGTGTTTGACCAATCACGGCGTGGGCGCTGCCAAGTTTGCCGCCTGTGGAGGGGGTCAGCGTCTGAGCGAAACCCGCGTCTCCTCTCGCTCGTGAGTAAACGTCAGCGGGCCGCTCGCGGGCGGTGGCTGCACGTGGCGTCACCTCGCAACGTTTGAACGTCAGATTTGTATTGAGGCCACGGTCAGGTTTCATGGTCGCGCTCATGGCCTGGGGTTCACGACCGCGACGGGGAGGGGAGTCCACGTGGGCGACAGGCAGCCGGCAGCGTCGTTTCCGCGCAGTGAAATGGTGGCGCTACAAAGAGCCAAACGCCGCCCGTTTGAACCACAACTAATGCCACGAGACCCGCCACTCACGGAGCCACGGCGCGCGGCCTCCCCGTGGATTCTCAGCCACGTGCTCTTGCCCCGTTGTACAATGGCTTGGGTCTTTGTATTAGTACGGAGGGAATTGTGTTCGGCCGAAATGTTATATTTGTATACGCTGCGTATATTATTATGACACGAACGTCACAGTGTGGCGCGTCTCTACGTTTTTAATACGGTAATTTATGTCAGTAAAATAATTCATGCCACGTCTTGAGGCAACATTTAAAGAGGACGAGCCGGTGCGTGGGTTTCGCCAGTTCCTCGTTAGTATAGTGGTCAGTATCCCCGCCTGTCACGCGGGAGACCGGGGTTCAATTCCCCGACGGGGAGGGCTGTTGATTTTTTTAGTTTTATTTCGACAAATACATTTATTTTACATTATTATGCACTCGACGATATCACGACTTCGTGAAGAAACATTTTATCTGAATATCCACAACGTTCAAATACAAAAACCATGTGACTCGTCTGACTTGAGTCAGCTCGTTGTTGTGCCCGTTGCCACGTGGAGGAGAGGACAGGTAAGCTGATGGTGACGATGTTGGGTTGTGTGGAACGCGTGGCTGGCAGTGCACGCCCCACAGGGAGCAGGGTCGCGTGCGCTCCACCAGGGGGCGGGAGGCAGCTGCTCGGCGGTTTGGGGCCGTGACTGACATGAATCACCCCGACACCCTCAGCATCAGTTTCAGTTTCATGTATTTGGTATAGCCCTGTGAGCCATTCGGCACTTGAATCGGGTGCAACCGCAACAAACAAAAACATGAACAAGAAACATCTTAAAGTGACTACCGGCAAACAGAAAAATCCAGGAAAAAACAGCAAAGTCTTCCAGAAAAAGCACCGTATATCAACGCTGTGTGCAAACATCCCAGTGGGATGCAAGTGAAACAGTAACAACCACAAGACAATTTAGATTAAAGTTATCAGTTTAACTCTGTACTACAACAAAGAAACATGGCCAAACCAAAACGTTTTCGAAATCACCAAAATAAAGCTATAAAAGCAATGTAACAGTGATCATAGGAACTGTGATTGAAATTTAACAATAAACGATATACATAACATGTAATACCAAACTTTGCAGCCATAGCTGGCAGCATGAGTCACTCCATACCAGCAGGAGTACCAGCAGGAGTATCAGCAGGAGTACCAGCAGGAGTATCAGCAGGAGTACCAGTAGGAGTACCAGCAGGAGTATCAGCAGGAGTACCAGTAGGAGTATCAGCAGGAGTACCAGTAGGAGTATCAGCAGGAGTATCAGCAGGAGTACCAGTAGGAGTATCAGCAGGAGTATCAGCAGGAGTATCAGCAGGAGTACCAGTAGGAGTATCAGCAGGAGTATCAGCAGGAGTATCAGCAGGAGTACCAGCAGGAGTACCAGCAGGAGTATCAGCAGGAGTATCAGCAGGAGTACCAGCAGGAGTACCAGTAGGAGTATCAGCAGGAGTATCAGCAGGAGTACCAGCAGGAGTATCAGCAGGAGTACCAGCAGGAGTATCAGCAGGAGTACCAGCAGGAGTACCAGTAGGAGTATCAGCAGGAGTACCAGCAGGAGTACCAGCAGGAGTATCAGCAGGAGTATCAGTAGGAGTATCAGCAGGAGTATCAGCAGGAGTACCAGCAGGAGTATCAACAGGAGTACCAGCAGGAGTATCAGCAGGAGTATCAGCAGGAGTATCAGCAGGAGTACCAGTAGGAGTATCAGCAGGAGTATCAGCAGGAGTACCAGCAGGAGTACCAGTAGGAGTATCAGTAGGAGTACCAGCAGGAGTACCAGCAGGAGTACCAGTAGGAGTATCAGTAGGAGTATCAGCAGGAGTACCAGTAGGAGTATCAGCAGGAGTACCAGTAGGAGTATCAGCAGGAGTACCAGCAGGAGTACCAGTAGGAGTATCAGCAGGAGTATCAGTAGTATCAGTAGGAGTATCAGCAGGAGTACCAGTAGGAGTATCAGCAGGAGTACCAGTAGGAGTATCAGTAGGAGTATCAGCAGGAGTATCAGTAGGAGTATCAGCAGGAGTATCAGTAGGAGTATCAGTAGGAGTATCAGCAGGAGTATCAGTAGGAGTATCAGTAGGAGTATCAGCAGGAGTATCAGCAGGAGTATCAGCAGGAGTACCAGTAGGAGTATCAGTAGGAGTATCAGCAGGAGTATCAGTAGGAGTATCAGCAGGAGTATCAGCAGGAGTACCAGTAGGAGTATCAGCAGGAGTATCAGCAGGAGTACCAGTAGGAGTATCAGTAGGAGTATCAGCAGGAGTATCAGTAGGAGTACCAGTAGGAGTACCAGTAGGAGTATCAGCAGGAGTATCAGCAGGAGCACCAGCAGGAGCATCAGCAGGAGTATCAGCAGGAGTACCAGTAGGAGTATCAGTATTTTTCAGATTCTCTCTCCCCTCTTCCATCTCGAACCTCCACCTCGGCGTTCTTCAAGTCAGATTTCTGGCTAGGGCCACATTTGGCCCTTGGCCCCCCAGTTGATGAACGCTGCCTTCAACTCTTCAACTTTTTACGCATTTGCCAATAATCACTCCGTGTGTGTGTGGCCTTAACATTAAAACATATATAATGGGCGACGTTTCAGGCAACAGCCCTTATTCATAGCATGTTAAATATTTTTCATAGAAGAAAGGCCATTGCCCGAAACGTCACCTATTATATGTTTTTCTTTTAAGGCCACATGCATTGTTGCTATTGGCCAAAGCAGCATCATCACCACAAAATTGGATGAACCCATCAGTTAGTCCCTGTCATTGTGCCCATCCTGCTGCTCACCAGAACATCACATGCTCCACATCATTGGGTGTAGATCAGAAGTCCGGTGGCAAAGGGGTAGAGAAGACCTACGGCCAGATGGCAGCATAGTACCGTCAGGTTCAGATCTAGGAGGTCGCCGCGTGTCTTCTGTGCAGCAGCAGTGAAGTCTGGTTGGAGGGCAAAAGCCCTGGCAGCCATGTGGTGCAGTGAGTGGTGGAGCCATCGACGGAATTGGCGCCATGACATCTCGTCTTGAGGGTTTGAATTGTCATGAAATATTTTCCAGGGACTCCACCTCTGCCGATCATCTCACGTTGTTGTTGTTGTGCTGTTGTTGTGTTGTTGTTGTGCTGTTGTTGTTGTTGTGGTGGCACTGTGCCGGCTTAGGAGCGCACACCTCTCGATTGCGTGGCCTGCCCCGTCCGGTGGGGCCCCCGGGACAAGCACCAGCGGAGAGGCCGGCAGGGGCGGGCGGTGGGGGGGTGGGGAGCGGGGGTGGCCATGCAGCGCCGCCTGGACGGAGCCCTGCGCTCCGAACTGGCGTTCCTGGGCGCGCTATACTGCGTGCAGGGCATGCCCTATGGCCTGCAGTCGGGATACCTGCCACTGTACATGCGCGCTGCCGGCGCTTCGTATGGGCTGGCGGCCATCACGCGGGTCCTCTACGTGCCCTGGCTGCTCAAGTTCGCGTGGGCGCCGCTCGTGGGCCAGTGCGGCTCGCTGAAGGGCTGGCTTCTAGGCAGCACGGGCGCCATGGGTCTCGTGTGCCTGGTGGGTTAAGTTCAATTCCAGGCCGCCAATTGTGAACCATTTCGTCGCGTGCGGAGTGGGCGGTCGAGGTCGGGGTCGTTTGAGCACCGAGGTTGTGAGAACGACCCCCGCCAACGTCGCCGGCTCCGGTCGTGAGGTGGCGGCAATGACGGCGAGCGCCGTCTTCCCCCGCCGCCCCCTCTCCGCAGGTCGGCGGTGCGGTGCTTCCCGAGCCGCGCACCTCGCTGGCGCCCAACGCGGCGCTGCTGCTGCTGCTCAACGCGCTGGCGTCTGTGCAGGACGTGGCGGTAGACACGTGCGCCGTGCGGCTCCTGGCCGGTGGGGCGCGCCTCGCCTGGGGCAACGCCGTGCAGGTGAGCGCCGCCGCCCCGGTGGTGTCAGAGGAATCCGGAAGGTCGCCCTAGTTTATGTATTAACCGTTAAACATGAGCTAAATATACATGATAAAGATCTCGTGATGGGATTCCACAAGAGTTGGCCATTACATGCCGGCATCATTGTTCAAATTTGCTAAATTACCTGCAAATTACTCAACATTGTCCCCGACTGTGTGAAGCACAGCCGCGCCTTTGTGACAGTCCTGCGCAATCAGATTGGCACGGATACCAAATGTACTGAATTATTATTCTTAATAATAAATGGGGTTCACAAGCTTAGACAGTTGATGGTCTCATTCCGGTCACCAGTAACTCCTTCATCACGTTAAGTTTTGTGAATGTTTAATTCGTATTGTTCCATATACTACGATGGATAAATATAATTAATTTGATATGCGATGAACACATCTCGCAAGGAGCGTGAGCTGCTGACGCTACCTCCTCACGTGGATGAGAGGCACTTGATAGGCCGTCGTAAGTATCGCGCGCACGTGCCCGTGATGCTACCCTGCCATCTGAGAGTTCTGAATGAAACTGCCTTCGTTTGTATGTACGTTGAACTTCTTTCGCACCATATCTAACCAAACCGTGCTAATCGGAGGCGTTTCGTGGCAACAATTGTAAAACAATAACAGGGAACACAGTTAAACAAGCAGCTGCGACTTGCTTTGAAAGCCCGCAAAAGTGAAACGGCGCTGTGCCCCACTCCCCGCTCCCAGGTGGTCGCCTACAAGCTGGGCTCGGCGCTGGCGGGCGGCGCGCTGCTCGGGCTGGCGGGCGAGCGGCTGGGCTGGCACGGCGTGCTGCGCGTGCTCGGCGCGCTCTACCTGCTGGCGCTCGCCTACACCCACCGCTGGCTCACTTGGCGGCCCGGCGGCGTGATGTCTCCTGCCCAGCACAGCGGGCAGCACGATGATGGGCAGCAGCAGCAGCAGCGGCACCGTGCCACCTTCAACCCCGTCACTATCTCCAGGGAGCTGCTCAAGACGCCAGGCACCGCTTGGATGGCCGTATTTGTTCTGCTCTACAAACTCGGTAAACGGTGAACTCATCCCTGGCTCTCGGCCTGCCTCTAGCCCTGAGCCTAATCCTGATCGTCGCCCACACTATGAGCAGCAGTACTTCGATTCACCTCCCGCTCATTCAATGAATTTACACAATTCAGACTCACGATTCCATTCAAAATTGTATTATACTGTGTCTCGTTTTCATTGCCTCATTTGTAGTGTTTTTCACATAGTTACCACAGCCTTGTCCATCCCATTAGCCTAAACATAGCCTTGGCATATTACGGCATATCATCGCCCCCAGCCATGATCAACACACTACTCGATGAAGGCCTAGTTCTCTACCTAACATCTGCACACGAGCTGAGTTTAGCCTCATCCTGTAACAAGGCAGAGTAATATAATGTGTCGCCCGAGTGTGAAGAGGTCCTGGCAGTTGCAGAACCACTACGCATGGAGCTCAAATCAAGAACAGTGTTAAAACTATTCCCCTCAAATACCCAATTGGTGCGGCTACAATACTGGCAGTGATGGGTACGTTATCATTCACTGGCGGTTCCTTGGTCGGAGGCCACATGCTGCCACGGGCCCCACTAAACTATTAAATGTCATTTATTTTTTATTTTACCAGGTAAGGCCCACTGAGCGAAATAGCTCTTTTTGAGAAGCGACCTGGCCACAAATGAAAACTCAACGAAGTGGCTTATCGTGTGGAAATGCATAGCAGCCAAATACTCTCAACACGTGATGTTGCTTCTAAATGTGGAGAGAAAAACCACGTGACCACGGGGAGACAGACGTGCAAACTCTAAATATACAGCAGGCGTCAGGATCGGGATCTAACCTACGACCTCCCGTATACCAGGCGAGGTAGTTAACATCTCGCCAGCCTGGTGCCCCACCCCGCCCCTGACCCCGGGCAGGAGCATCGCGGCGGGTGTGGCCCGCAGGCCGCAGACTCCCGTGCCAACACGAGGGTGCTGCAGCACGTGTCCTGTGCTCCAGGGTCAATCCGTGAATGACCCCGTGAGTCTCAAGGTTAATTGACAAGCGCCGCTTGCCGAGGCGCGTTCGGCCCGTCCTCGTTAGTATAGTGGTCAGTATCCCCGCCTGTCACGCGGGAGACCGGGGTTCAATTCCCCGACGGGGAGTGCCTATTTTTATTATTGAATTTTTTAAAAATCTCAGCCCTGCTGCACGCCTCGATTACGACCACTTATTAATGAGTAATTATTAAGTGGTGTCTGATCGATGCAAATCAACTGATTGCTGTAATGAAAGCAGGTTTGAGTGTCTGAGTCGGGCCGGGCCTCCTTGGCTCTCCTCCCCCATGAGTTGAGGTCGTTGAACTGCATCGCTCGGGAGACGAAGCACACATTATTGTACCGTGAAGAAGGACCGTACCCGAAACTTCGCCTCGTATATTTTTTATTTTTTATTCCACACACAGTCTTATTGATTAATGTGTTGCGTTTTTAATCGTAATATTTTGCCACGTAATAGATGTGAAGTACCGGTGAAGACACTTGACGCCGAGGTGGAGGCACACGAATATTTATTCAACACAACTCGTATGTGGCATACAGTACTGGAGGGGGTATCGGCCCCCTCACCCGACTAGCTCAAGGATACACTTCCTGGCTAAGTCCTAGCCTACCTCACAGTCCTCCACTACTGGGCTAGGGGAGGCTACTTAGCCCGACACTGGTAAGTCGGGCCGGTACCCGGAGTCCCAGACCAGCTCTTAGAAGAGCACCGGCTCTGGCTTTCGGGACCACGCCGCTGGCTCGATCCTGTTCGGCCCTGACAAGGACATCGAACGAGGGAGTCCAGGGCTCTATCTAAGACGTCTTCCGTCTTCTTAGTTAACTATAACATAACTAACTCCCGAGCCCATATAACGTCCCCTTTTATACCCAACCCTCCTTGAGGGGTGGGGCCCCGGGGGATCATAACGCCAAACCAGCCCCCCCCAGGGTGTCTGGCTCGGACGTCGCAGAGGGCATCTCCCTGTGCACACACGTAGCCCCGCCCACTGTGTTTCTTTCCCATAGACTGCCATACATAACGGCCCTCTCTCTAACATCCCTACATCACTCCCCCCTACATAGCTCGCAGCCGTCCCGGCTGCCAACATACAGAATGACAATAAAAATTAATTTTTACCGTAACCGCGCGTGTGCCTCACTAATTTTCAACAATAACAAGAACGGCAACAAGAACACAACAAAAAAAAAATGCAACAGCAAGAAGAGAAAACAACCCGACGCACCCCCCCTTGAATAAATACGAATTCCGTAAGAAACAAGCTATATACAATTTGCAGGGAAGCCACCATACACATAACAGCAGGTGAGCACAACGTAAGTAATTTCAATGGGCAGGGAACACACCCCCCCACCCAACACACAATGAACACAACATATATACACATCTTGCGGTTTCACAACAGTCTGCGCATTTTTGCGCGTGTCCTTGCGGCGGGCCCCTCACACGGGGAAACTCCGGGTGGCGGACCGTCAGGTGGTAATCGTCCGTCCCGGAGTGAGACCTCCTCTGATGCCGCGTGACTGTTGGTATCCCCAGAAGGGGTGGTCGGGCGTGAGCCCGTCAGTCTCGATGCACCTGGAGGTGGCACGGCCGGCAAGGCATTAGGTGAGCGCGGTGGAGACGGACCTAGTGAGTCGGTCGACCCCCCACACGTCTGGCCACGCATGCGTGAAGTGGGTTTGTGTACCGCGACGAAGGGTTTCAACCGAGAGGGGTGCACGAACCATCGCCGCTTCCCCCATCGAATGCGCACGCACTGTGGTCGCAAGACCTCGACCACTTCCACAGGGCCCCGCCACGGCCGCGCCAGCTTAGGGGAGGTAGCCAGGGGCACTTGGGGACAGTGCAACCATGCCCTGTCCCCCGGTTTCCACTGTATTACATGCGCCCGACCCAGCCTGAGGCGCTCGTTCGCCTTTTGACGGAGGTCCGAGTTCAACCTCGCAGCATCCCGCGCCTCTGTTAATTTAGCCAGATTAAATTTGACGTGGTCAGCCAATTTAGTTTTTCCTTGCGGGTCGGGGATCTGCAGCTGGGCGCGAACAGGCGGGTCGGGTTCGCGACCATACATAAGGTAAAAGGGGGAAAATCCCGTAGCTGCATGGGGTGCCATCCGGTATGCCGCCAAGACCCCCTGAATATGCAGGTCCCAATCAGTCTGTGAATCTGAGACCTGCTGTGCCATCATTGACGAAATGGTGCGATGCAGGCGCTCGACCATTCCGTCAGTCTGTGGGTGATACGGGGAGGTCCGAATTTTCTTTGTGCCTAAGAGGTCACAGACTTGTTTAAGTAATTTGCTGGAAAAATTTTTACCCTGGTCGGTCAGCAGCCGTTCCGGAGCACCTTTGTCCAGGACGTATCCCTGAACAAAGGCGTCCACGATGGCTGCTGCCGACTGGTTGGCAAGGGGCCAGGCCATGGGCCAGCGCGTAAAATACTCGACCCCTGTCAGCAAATACCTATTGCCCCTGGGGGTGGCGGGAAATGGGCCCAAGATGTCCAGCGCGACAAGCTCATTTATTCTGGACACCTTGATTGATTGTAAAGGCCGGTTAGACTCCCGTGCCGGCGGTTTCCGTTGCGCACACCGCGGGCATGAACTCAAAAGATCCCCAACATCCTTTGTCATACCAGGCCAAAAAAAATCTAGTTGTATCAGTGCAAGGGTCTTTAGAGTCCCCAGATGTAACAGGCGCTCATGCGCGGCCCACACCACTTTGCCTCGCAACTCAGAAGGGACGACCAGCCGATGTCGCTGTGATTTGCCGTCCCAATGCATGAGCAGACCCTGTACCATTTCCCATGCACCTGAATCACCTTTCACCCGCCCAGCACCCCCGACGCGACGACGCCACCCGAGGAGGGAGGTATCCTCCATTTGGAGGCGCCCCCACTCAGTGACGGGCAACCCCAACAGGGAATCCCTTCCCTGTTGTTCGATCGAATTATCAGGCAGTGGTTCGTCGTCGTCGGTGGCTGCCAGGATCGGAACCGATGCGTCCCCTGAAGGTCTGCAACGTCCCGACCCCAGGAGGCATGCACATTCCGAGGTGGTTGGCATGCGTGACAGAGCGTCCGCGTTGGTATGGCGAACGCCCTTACGGTAGGTGGTCTCAAAATCAAAATCCTGGAGAACCTCCAACCATCGAGACAACTGTCCCGATGGTTGTTGAACTCGCAGGGCATACTGTAGTGCCGCATGATCTGTGCGGACGGTGAAATGCCGACCGTACAGATATGGGCGATACTGTTGGATGAAAAAAACAATTGCCAACAGTTCTCTACGGGTGACACAATATCTCTGCTCCGCAGGAGACAACACCCGACTACCGTACGCGACCACCCGTTCAACGCCATCAACCACCTGGGAAAGCACACCCCCAATACCCGTGTTGCTCGCATCGGTGTCGAGCAAAAAGGGCTTCGAAAAATCAGGGTAAATCAAGGGAGGGGCTTTTACCAGGGCGTCCCGAAGGGAGCGGAACGCAGCCTCCTCCTCTTGACCCCAGTGGAACCGAACCCCTTTAGATGTTAAAGCGTGCAGGGGTTTAGCAATTGTTGCAAAATCAGCAACAAACCGTCGATAATACGACGCGAACCCAATGAAACTCCTGACCTCTCCCACCGAGGTGGGAGTCGGCCAGGAGCTGACACACTGCGTTTTGGCGGGATCGGTAGCAATACCTGAACGTCCCACGATGTGCCCCAAATAACGCACCGAATCGCGCAACAAATGGCATTTTTGGGGCTTGAATTTCAAATTAGCAGCCCGCATCTTTAGGAAAACCGCCCGCAACCTCTGGAGATGTTCATCAAAAGTTTTACCAAAGACGATAACGTCATCCAAATAAATGAGGCACGACTCCCATTGCAGTCCAGCCAAAACCAATTCCATTAAACGCTGGAAAGTTGCCGGCGCTGAGTGTAAGCCCATCGGCAACCGGTTGAATTGAAACAAGCCGTGCGGTGTACGAA